CATATCTAGCCAAACACCCACACTTTCTAACTGTTTCCTACACCACTGCATAGTGATAAGTAATACGTTTCAGTGTCGATTTACAAGAAGCAAAGTGACATACTAAATATTGTTAAATATCGAGATACAAAAAAACAGCCACAATAAATTTTGTCACAGTTTTAAAAAATAAGAAACATAGGCTGGGTCATGGTTTGCGGCCAACTGCCGCAAAAACGTGGTCTTCACTTTGGGGCCGTAAGTGCACTCACTATAAGAGTGACGGAGAAACTCCCACTAGTCAATGTCAGACAAGATTAGTCCAAGAGTTGGCGGTGAGTACTATTGACTGGTTGCCTTTCCTCTTGTGTATCAGTTCAAAATTAAGGACGCTTTGAGTAGATAGCTCTTCATATAATGTTTTGCGAAAATTCTAAAATATGCAAACAACAAAGAAACTTGGTGATGTAGTAAATCTTGTTTCAGTTTTGAGAAATAAAAATGTTACGTCACAGTGTTAAATTAAATCTTATTACAGTGTCGAGAAAAACCAAAATTCAGCGTCACAATGAATGTGATAAGATAAGCTAAAAAGGAAGAAGTAAGACTTGCAATTTATTCTGGTGAGAGAAGTTAATACATGTTTCTTGAACTGACAACAGTTTGCATGATTACTATCTTTATAATTTGTAATATTATTTAACAGAATAAGCTAATCTATCATTCATCTCACCAATTGTTATACCGGTTTCGGGGTATTTAATTCCTCACCAATAACCCTAGACAAGACCAAATCGAACAAACAAACAAAGAAGACTATGAGTCTTATAGTAGTGGAATGTATTAATTGTATGTATTTTTTTAGTCGTCTTTTACTATATTTATATTTGATTTGAAGAATATGCAGCACTGATGGTACTAATTACACAGACCTACGAATTTAAACTTCATAAAAGTTGTTTTGGTTTTGGTAACGGATTTTCCATAATTGTAGACTTCGAAAATAATTTTCATTTTTTTTTTTCTATAGCGTAAGGATTTTTTACAAATCGGGAAGAAGAAAAAAAACTATTACTTAGATCAAATTATTAATTAGTTTACCACAATGAACATTTTTTATTATTACGTTTGTTAACAAAAATACAAACAAAATGAATAAAACTGATGCCAAAGGAATATGCATCCTCATTCATCTTGATATTTTAAAATGTGAAATCAACGTATTTTAGTCTCAAAACTACATGTTGTAGTCTTTCTTTTATGTATTACGTCATAACGTTTTGTGAAAAATCTGTACGTGATGGAGAAAAATGGATATAATTTTCGGATTCAACGTATAGGAATTACTGAAGAACATGTAAAAATTTCAAGATAATAAAACTATCGCAGGCCTGTGTTATTAATTACTAATAATAATTCACGCACGTACTCGCGGTGGGTTCTAGGGGGTTCGGCTGAACCCCCTTTGTTGTGATGTTTAAAAATTATGCTTATATATTTATAGCTCAGTTGCTTATGATAGTTAACGTATTCTGCATTTTCTATATTCTTCTGATGAAAAATTAGCAAATTTGGGCTTTAAATAGTCACATGCTCCCAGTCCCTCATGGCGTCATGCTTTGCATGCTGATTGTGCTTCGCACAGTATTGTTAGCTGTTGACATCACAAATTAGAACCCCTTTCAAACATTCTGCGTACGGGCCTAATAATTACCGTATTTTTCGGTGTATAAGACGCACTTTTTACTCCAAAATTTGATGTCAAAATCTGCTTGCGTCCTATAAACCGAAGGTATGAATAATATACATGTATATATACGATATACACAAGCCATGTGTAAATATATTTAAATAGGCATGCATAGTTTAGTTCAATTGAATGTGTTATTCATAACAATAGCAGTTTTATTTTTCTTTTAAAAACATAACTATTTATAATGCTCCCTAAATAATAAAAAAATAAATTATAGTAATGGAGTTAGTAAAGTTAGTATAGCAAAGTTTCCCAAAACTTTGTCTTCAAAATAAGGGTGCGTCTTATATTCCGAAAAATACGGTACTATTTGTTGATAATATGTTCAACAGTATATGATTTGTAATTAAGTAAGGGAATTAAGTAGAATACATATTTTCCAAGTTTTATTGAAATAATATATGCTTAACTGTTGAATACCTAGTATATCTGATATTTTGCATGTGATGTACACGTGTATAGTGGTTAAAAGATTGTGTACGCATTCTGAATAAATATTTTTTATTGAAGTAATTCATAGGAATCGTTTGGTCATAATAGGGGGTCATGAAACTAATCTTTAGGAATCGTAGATCAAATTTCAGTGGTAAATTCAAAGTCAAAATAATTTTTCCTAACTGTATTTATTAGGGATGTGCCAAATGACTTATTTTACCGTTTTACGGGAAAAGTAGTAAGTCGTAACCCCGTGTGTGTTGTAGGCTTTGTCAATGTGTTCATAATGAGCTCGATTTTGTAATGTTAAGTGTTTTGAACCCCTGATGACTTCGTGAAAGATAAGTGGCCAGTGTTGTTTAAATGTTGTTGGCCGATCGGACTTCCAATTGAACCGAGTTAATGTCTGACCATAGATTTTTGTTCAATTTTAGCTTTTAAAAGATATAACATAAAGAGAAACGTAATAATGTAGTCTTGAACACAAACAATCTAGTTCACGAATAAAAAGCAAACGTGGTGCATACTACAAACTATACTTACTTCTGTCTCCTACCATTCAACCTGTTAAAGAAAATAGATTTTCAAATTATATTAAAAGGAATGCCATTCCAAAATTCTATAAAATCTCTAAAGATAATTTTTAGATTTAGGACTGCATTTTACTCCCTCCTAACACTAGGAAAAACGTTTTTAACGGAGAAATAGAAGGACATACAAACAGAATTGAAAACCCTTCTCTCACATTTCACCGAGATAAAAATATTGAAATAAGTTTTCGGTACCACTTATTATTTCCAAGAGAGACTACATACAATTTCTGATGAACATCAACCAAGTGCTTTTCCTCGAAAATGACGGAAAACGCTTCTTAATAATCATTAATTTGCCATCATAATTCAAAGCACGTGTTGCTACAAAAAAAAGAAAAAGAAAAAAAAAAGCTACATGTTAATCAAAGTTGCATGGTAACACGAGAAGCTAAGAGGTTCTTTCAGTATATGTCTCACGTTCACAACCATAGTTTGGCGAACATTCTATTTACGAGTTAAGAGGTTCTTTCAGTATATATCTCACGTTCTCAACCATAGTTTGGAGAACATTCTATATACGGTACAGCTACACAGAAATATCCAGGGTCCATCTCACCTTCCTCTAATAAACGGTCCAACTGATTAGAATTGAGTTGTATGCAAAAAAAAAAATAAAAAAATGCGTGAATAGAATGACTTACACAGTGAATTTTATATTAAAGATTTTAATATTAATTGTTTTTAATTACAGGAGGTACGGGTATCCAACTACAACAATATAATGTAAAATGTATCTATGTTTCGATGTTAACGGCTGGGGTTACAAGTCTTAAAACACAAAAAATGTACTACAATATGGATTGCATCAATTTGGAAGTTAACCGTCTGCTGTTACATATATCAAAACAAAATAATATACTGTAGAACTGACCAGTTTGGATACTAACTGTTCAGAACTATATGTATATAAACATGACAATATAGTGTAAATAGCATAAGTCGGATGTTAACCAGCTGGTGTTATAAATATAAAAATATGATAATATAATGTATGTAACTGTCTGTAGTTAAAGGTATCAAAACATAACAACATAATAAATATAAATTCAGTTCGAATGCTAACTGTTTGGAGTTAAAGATATGTAAGCACAATAACATACTACACATACAAAATCAGTTGGATGTTAACTGTCTGGAGTTATATATATCAAAACATTATAATATACTGTACAGGACATCTGTATATTCAACCAACTGCTCACCAAGCTACCTTACAGCTAAGTTAAATACTGATAGCATTAAGTGTGTTTACCTAACCAACAGTTGCCCATACAACCTTTACAGCTAAGTTAAATACTGACAGCCCTAGGTATGTTTATCCAACTAACAGTTATCAAGCAACCTTACAGCTAAGTTAAATACCGACGCAATAGGTGTGTTTATCCAATCAAGGTGTGTTTACCCAACCAACAGTTGTTCAAGCAACCTTACAATTAAGTTAAATACTGGCATTTTTAGGTGTGTTTATTCAACCAACAGTTACCAAATATAAACCCAGTGTCACAAAGCTTCTTGTTACTTTCTAAACAGGAATCCAATGATTTTTAACTTTTCATTCGTTTGTTTGTTTGTAGTTAAGCGCAAAGCTACACAAAGGGCTATCTGTGCTCTGCCCACCGCGGGTATTGAAACCTAGTTTCTAGCGTTGTAAGTCCGCAGACTTACCGCTGTGTCACTGGGGGGAGGGGGCTTTTCATTCGAACACTATAATTTAAGTAGGTAGTTCCGTTTTTTGTTTGTTTGTTTTTTTGTAAATTTAAATTATTTTGCTACTATTAGGGCAAAATATACTATTAACAGCTTATGAAATGTTAACAAAAATACTATCCGAAAATCTACTGAAAATTAATACTAGCTACAGGCATTTAAAAAACTGTCTTTTAAAATCAGCTATAGATTTAGGTTGTACTGGTCTGTTTAATGTTTAATGAAAATTAACCCAAATTATTCAATCAAAAATATTTTAAAACAAAATCCCAATGTCGAGGTAATTAACATTTTGATAATAAATATTTCCACTAAAAACGGTTTTAATCCCAAAAGTTTGCAAAACCTAATCTAAAGTAAGATTCATAATAATCTCATGATGTACAAAAATAAAATTAAATACGTAGCATTAAGAAACGAATCACTGAACTACTTACTAATGCGGGCGTATACTTAACGTACACATATACACTTATACGACAAATTACTACGCTAAGGGGTCGGTACAAGCGTGTGTGGTAGTATGACAGAAAGAGAGTGGAAGTCATGCGATTGGCTGGAGAGGAACAGAGCACGGTAATTTCGACCGATTCTCTTGGGTCGTTCGCCTACCATGTCCCGGGACTACAGGAGGAAAGATTTCGTGTTGACCGACGGAAACTTGAACAAATGTTGCAAGGTGAGGATTTTGACTTTTAAGTTACATTTCTTTCATTACTTAGAAAAATATAACTGTCTTTTACTGAACAGTAAAGTGTAGTTTCAAAATGAAGTAACGATGCTAAACGTCGTGGTAGTTGCCGTTGTGTTTATTTTTTTAATCTTTATGGTTGAGCTTTCAATTTCTAATCTCTGTCTACTGAGATTGTCATTAATGTTGTCTGGCAAAAAAAAACAACAACACTTCACGAATGGTTTGTGAAATTTATAAAATAAGTCAAGTCTAAGAATTATAGTAATTTAGTATAACTTACAAGTATAACAACCAAATGAATTTACTGGCCACTGGCTAAATAAATAGGTTGAAATCTTGACCAATTCCTTTTTCATTTTGTTTCAGTTTTGAACACTTCATTTAATATTTAAGTACATATTTATTTCAAGGTTAAAACTTATAGCATAAAATGACCATTTCTTGATAGGGGGTATTTGTTCGAAAATCAGAGTAATGCATTTTAAAGTTGTTTGTTGAACTGGTGTAGGATTACGAACTTATACCATAACCCAGACTGGGATGAAAAATAATGTCCAGTTTCAGTGTGATTGTCATGCGTGCCTGTAATTGTAAAACGCCACGTCTGAGAACCCTAACTTCCCTCCGTTTTTCAAATCCAACCAGTCTAGCGAAATTTCGTAAAAACTCAAGTCAGTTATTTCTTTAACCACGTGTAGCTAATCATAACCAGAGCAATTTATGTTGCCGCCAACAACGAGCTGTTTTGTGTAAGTTTTTAATTTGCTGGTAAAACTAAAAGTTCTTTTTGGCTAAAGTAAATAACTTATACTCCCGTATTGTTTACCTTGAACTTGAAAGGAGATTATCGTACAGTTTCGTTTTAACTGATTTATTAATAGTTTTTATAAAGTTAATTGTGAAAGATGATTAAATAAAGAAGGTGACAATAAAATAAGTCTTCTGAAAGTTGCTTATTTAAGTTTCACATACATGTCAGAATATTTAAAGTTAGGATGTGCGCATGCGACGATTATTAGCAAGGGAGGTTTTTAGGTAGATGTCAAATATGGAAATTTATTTAATAGGATGAGAAGGTTTTTAAGTTTCAGGTAGAAAGAAGCTTTAAAGTACAACTGTTTGCACAGGCAATAGGGCTTTCGCTTGGAGCTTTAAATTACGACAGGTTGCAGATGAGGTAAGGTTTTCAGGTTGCAATTTTTAAATACAACAATTGTTTTCAAAGAGGGGTAAGGTTTTTAGGTGGAAATTTCAAATATAACGATTGTTTACAAAGTGAAACAAGGCTTTCAGATAGAAGTTTTATTAAATTTTACGACTGTTTGCAACTTTGGTAGAAACCTTAAACTTGTCCACTCATTTAAATATTCATCTTGTACTTTTTTTTTTTCCTCTCCAAGAAGATCCTTACCAGAGTTGTAATTACACATGAAATTCCACTGCATTAATATTATGTGAGACAGCGAAAGCTATTCGAAAAAAAGTTATACGAATTAACTTTCTTATATAAAATATTCGGTCTTAGTTAGTGCTTAAAATGTTAGAAAAGACTCGGATGTAGCTTTTAAACTTTTATATTTAAGGGATTTCAGTTTGAAACCTGCTGCAATGGAGCAACTATATATGAATCTATTAAAACCCACGAAGAACATTTTCATTAAAAAGTGTTACTCCTTGTTTTGAACCGACCAGGTATATGTTTTAGTTACTTTTTAAGAAAAGCGACGCAGATCATCGTAATAGCCCCAAACCCCTTCGAATCTGAGAGCCCAAACACTAATGCTGAATTTAAAGTCGCTTTGCCAAATATTATGGGAAAGAATTAAAATGCACGTAAACGTACACACGTGCAGCTGAGAAATACTGTATAAATATTACAATAAATTAATCTCTGTACTCTGGATGCAGTTTCTCTTGTTGTGGAACTTAATAAACGACACTTGTCTCTCTCTCTCTCTCTCTCTCACACACGCACACCATCCTTGTGTAACCTTTCAATCGCAACTTAAATTAAAAGTCTCATTTTATGATTTTTTTTTAGCTAACAAAGTATAATAGTTTGAATTTGTGTTGAACTCTGTTGTAAATGCATAAAACACGCAGTAGTGTGCGAATATTTTTAACACGCTAGTTTTTATTCTTTACAGAAAGGTTGATTATCTTTGTGGTATCGAAAACTAAACTACGTATCACTGCGGTAACGGTAATTCTGAACGTCAAAGTACAAATTGGTTCAGTGACACGAGTTCGTCACATTCATGGATTGTTGTTCTTAGTGGTGTACCGTATCAAGCCATTAAAGTCAAGTGACATGCAACTGTTTATTATTACAAGGGGAGGTTGTAAAACTGGATGGACGCTTGTCATACGGAAGTTTTATTTTAGTTCTTTCTTCTTAAATCTCACGTGCACGTTGATAGAATGATGGGTTCCTTCAGCCAGTTTACACGGCTATTCTCTTTAAATTAGTTTCTACCTTCTGTTTCGTACGGCTATTCTCTTTAAATTAGTTTCTACCTTCTGTTTCGTACGGCTATTCTCTTTAAATTAATTTCTACCTTCTGTTTCGTACATTTTCCAGAAACATTACACACAAACTAATGGTTACTTGGGTACTTCAACCAGTTTACACAGCGACTCTCTTTAGTTTAATACTTACCATGTGTATTGTATATAATTTTTTTATAAAACTTTAACACACATTTTCACGACTTTTCGTATTGGTACTTATCTTTATCACATTCTTTTCATAAACCTTGCATGCAAGATGATGGCATGTACACTTGGTTGGTTCTGATACTTTACATTACTTTTACCCACTGCATTGTTTACTTGTCAGAAGTTTTACACACACAGACTGTTGGTATGGTAATTTACTTTGGGAAATTTACATAGCTTTTTATTAAAACTTACCACCGTAGTGCTAAGTCTTGAGAAACTACCGAAACACTGATGTTGTATTTATTTAGTCAGTTTACAGAACTTTTTAAACACCTTCCATCTGTATTGTTTACTTGTCAGAAACTACCCTAACACTTGTATTTGTTTAGTCAGTTTTTAAACACTTTTCATCTGTATTGTTTACTTGTCAGAAACTACTCAAACACTTGTATTTGTTTAGTTAGTTTTTAAACACCTTCCATCTGTATTGTTTACTTGTCAGAAACTACCCAAACACTTGTATTTGTTTCGTCAGTTTTTAAACACTTTTCATCTTTATTGTTAACTTTTCAGAAACTACCCAAACATTTATATTTGTTTAGTCAGTTTTAAACACTTTTCATCTGTATTGTTAACTTTTCAGAAATTACTTAAACACTTGTATTTGTTTAATCAGTTTACGGAACTTTTTAAACACTTTTCATCTGTATCGTTTACTTGTCAGAAACTACCCAAACACTTGTATTTGTTTCGTCAGTTTTTAAACACTTTCATCTGTATTGTTAACTTTTCAGAAACTACCCAAACACTTGTATTTGTTTAATCAGTTTACGGAACTTTTTAAACACTTTTCATCTGTATCGTTAACTTTTCAGAAACTACTCAAACACTTGTATTTGTTTAGTCAGTTTTTACACACTTTCAT